AGCACCCTCACAGGGAAGAGCTTCTGCCTCAGAGCTCATCTCAATCTCCCCTCTGGCAGGTTCAAGCCATTGCCCCCTGTCCTGTCCCTACAGGCCCTTGTCCAAAGCCCCTTTCCAGGTTTCCTGTAGCCCCTTTAGGCACTGGGAGCTGCTCTAAGGTCTCCCCTTAAGGAGCCTTCTCTTCTCCAGGCTGACCCAGCCCAGCTCTCTCAGCCTGGCTCCAGAGCAGAGCTGCTCCAGCCCTCGCAGCAGCTCCATGGCCTCCTCTGGACTTGCTCCAGCAGCTCCACATCCCTCTTGTGCTGATGCCCCAGAGTTGGATCAGGACTGCAGGGGGGCTCTCCCCAGAGTGCAGCAGAGGGGAAGAGTCCCCTCCATGACCTGCTGCTCATGCTCTAGGGATGCAGCCCAGTACACAGTTGGTTTCTGGGCTGCAAGCACACATTGTGAAGACCAAATTCAGTTTCTCTATTGCAGAAATTTACTCCAGAAAACTTGCAAAAATATTTGAACTTAGCACAACTCCAGAGCCAAGAAGTTCTAATGACTCTGAAATGGGCTTATTTTGCCAGTTTCAGATTTCACGTACTATTGTGATTCAGTACATTTGCATAAATGATTTAACTAGTCCTTAATAGTTTTGGTAGTAACCAAAACCTACGGAGTTGTAGAGAGTTCTCTACAACACTTTCCACTGATGCAAGCAGCTGATATTCACTGTGGGCAAAACCTACATTATATGGAACAGTAAAATATCTATAACTGGATTAGTTTATATCCATCTTTCAAAGTAAAGTTCTGAAATCCTACCAAAACTTTATCAGATTTGATATTTTTAAACCAACTATCACCACCAATTTCTTCTTCACAGGAATTATTTTCACGGGAAAATGTTCCTTTCTCATATGCTTTTTCTTTTTCAAACACAAAAGACCTTGTTACTTCATTATAAAATTACTGAACTTCAGATCAGATTTATTGCTCTCAACTTTACACCGAAATTGCATGCAACTGTCTGCCAGAAGGCCTCTTTTTTTCTTACTTCATCCTGGTGTTCAGTATACGTCCTGCTTCCCATCCCCATTTTCAAATAAGCCAGACTAAATTAGAGGAGGAGGTTTCTGTAGCAATCACAACTATATAAAGCCCTTCCCTCTCCCTCTTCTTCACAACTTTCCTCTCATTCTACATACCTGATTTGCCCAGTTCCACAGGAAATTAAGTCCCAAGTAACAAATGTCTCAAGCTTAGACTGTTTTCAAACATGTTTACTCTAAATAGCTAAATAACTTCCTTTCTTAAAATGTAAGTAACATACCCAAACTGTATCTCCAGTAATGCTGTTGAGTAGGGAAAATACAGCTAAAGAAGCTGTGGGGCTAGTTGCTCAGTCAGCATCTGTATGTTTGGAAGCAGTTCATTTCTGGGATTTGAACTTGAACAGAAGCCCAGGAAAGCAGTTATTTAACATTCAGTGATTCAGTAAAGTTTAATACAGCTCTTCTCTTAAATGAAACAAGAAAAGAATAAGCCTTCAGCTTATAAACCATAAGGGTCATGGAGACAGGTACCGTGTTTTCAAAGTTAGTCCTAATTTTAGTTAAAATCATTATTTAACTTGAGAAAAAACGTGTCTTCCCAAGCAATCAGTCTCAGTCCCCAAGCCCAAAGACTGATCCACTCTGGTATGAAACTTTTTCTATTGAGTAAGAATAGACCCACCAGATTTTCAGATTCCAGGTTTTCAAACCTTTATAAAACCTAAAGTGAACAGTTCTCATAAAAATGAAACAGGTTTTTGTAGCTGCATCTCTATTAATGATATAAATTGGTAAAGAATGCTATAATTTCTGTGGGATTTTTTAACAGAGGAATTGAATAGACAGAGAACAACATTCC